TCCGACCCATAGCGACCCTGTACAGGGTTTCCGAGGGTGTAAATCTTTACGGGAGTAGAAAGCCTCATCTTTCTCCCGCGGAGCGGCTGGTAGTTTCGAACCGCTGACCTTAAGGTTCGCAGCCCAATTCGTAACCACTACGCTAATTAAATCTGTTCCAACTCGTGTATAGGATTTCCAAAGAGTGACTGGTGGGGCTAAACTACCAACTTTGAAGGTTTTATCTACTTTTTTCTTTCTGTTCTTTGGATTTGTATTTTCATTTATTTAAATTGTATATTGTTTGCCTGGCTTATATTGACTTTGATCATGTTAGTTGGGTTATCATATAATGGAACTTGTTTGACCTCAAAAATTAAAAGCAATGCTGAATTAAGAGAGGCTATTAAATAATTTCAGCCTCTTTTGGTTGTGTATTTCTTTTATAAGTTATTCAAGAAACTAAAGAGTATTAGGAATATGGAAATAATTATACAGTAGGGCTTCAAAAAGTTCTTGGAAAAATTCCATTTTCTCTCTCTCTCTCTCTCTTTTTTTTTTTTTTTTTGGATATGGTGAATTTTTATTACATAATAATCAAAACCCCATAACTGATAACATTATTTTGGTGTATCTAGAAATCAAGGACATTTAGAGCCAGGAGAAAATTAAGACATAATATTGCACAATGCACTATTTTGTGTTGTTGTTGTTAAGTGCCGTCAAGTCAATTCCAACCCCTAGTGACCCTGTATAGGGTTTCCGAGGAGCTGCTGGTGAGCTTGAACTGCCGACCTTGCAGTTCAAATGGCTATATACTATTATAAACTTAGATAATGGAGTTAAATAATAAATATCCAAGAGTATATGATTATATGGGGCACATCCCATGCTTCCAAACATTCCATCTTCCCTGTTACACCACACGAAATAAAATCAGCCCTGTCATCTCTCTGAGCGTCTTAGTAGTATATTACTTGTTACACTGAGGATTGAACATGATACATGAGGAAAAGCACTGACAAAGTCACATTTTGATATCCACAAATAACAAGCAAGATGCCACATTTCACTCCCTGCAATACCCATGACAGTTACTCAAAGAGAAGAGTGAACTTCTATGCTACTCACTCAATTCTGTAATCGTCATTTTAATATCATTTTTACCTTGCAGAGCTATTATCAGACTTACTTGGGGGCATGCAGAATGTAGTTCTGTGTGGTTTTTTTTGTGTTTTTTTTTTTAAATCTTGAATATTTTCTGTTCAGAAGTCCTATTGACTAAATATGTTGTTGTTGCTGTCAAGTGTCATCAAGTCAATTCCTACCCATAGTGACCCTGTATAGATTTTCCAAGGAGCAGCTGGTGAGCTTGAACCGCCGACCTTGCAGTTCAAATGGCTTTGCAGTCTGGTGCATTAACCCACAGCACCACACCAGGACTAAATAGAAGTACACTTACATAAGTGGTTTTTAAACTGATTTCTCCCTAGAATGCTTTCTTCATATGAAATATTAACCACTTAAAGAGGAACAGCTCTAGATGGATGCAAGTATGTCCCATCCCCAGCTTGCCCTCCTGTCTCACAGCATACACTGAACAGTACTGGTTCACAGGTCGGATTTTCAAAAAGTACAGGCCTAATTTGCTTTCCAAAAAAATCTGCCCACATCTAACCATAAATACCTTTGAATTAAAAAAGCAAACTGTGCATGGATTGGTTTATTATCATTTGTTTATTACTGCCTTTCCATTTTGTTTATTGAATCAGTATGACCTAGGAATGGGTGAACCTTTTTGTGTGTGTGTGAATTGAGTGATAGTTTACATGAGAGAACAACAGTATTTGCTTCTATTCCTCTTGTATTTTTTCCTTGAGGGGGTTGGGAATGTACACAAAAACACCCAACAATATATAATCATTTAAACATCCAAAGGGTACATTCTGCAAGCCTGCCGCCTGGCCTCTAACACAAAGCCTTTCTCTTTCCGTGAGTCTAGAGTCCTCAGCTGCTCTCTCTCTCCTCATGTCATGATCTCTGTCTTCATCTCTGGTGTCACTGCTTCTCTGGATAGGGTCTCACATTCTGCTCATGCTATATTATTCTCCCTTGATGGCCCTAGGGCCCTCTGTTCCTGGACTGTAAGATTAACTACTCCCCCTTTTTGTTTCAAAACTTCTGCCTTTACAGTTGTAACAGTTGCAGTTAGTCATGACAACAGTTATTCACAATTGAATCATAAAAATCTTAACCCCATCTCCTTTTACCAAACCCATCTAGACAAGATGAAAACTATTCAGTGGGGTCTCTACCTTTTCCCACACACTCTAAAACTAAACTCCGTCTTGAAAACTTGTAAGCCAGTCACTTCATGCCTTTATAGCCCCACATTTTAGGTAACCAATGTCTAAGTTGCCTGTCCTTATCAATCCTATATACAGAGGGGATAGGATTGATACTTGATGTGAAGACTCCTTCCCTCTCAGTTGGTATTTTGAGCTACACAGAAATGGCTGCAAGCATACATTGACAGAGAACTTACAGAGGTTCAAGCCAGATTCAGAAGAGGGCATGGAACAAGGGCTATCATTGCTGATGTCCGATGGATCTTGGCTGAAAGCAGAGAATACCAGAAAGATGTTTTGGCTGTGCTTTATTGACTACGCAAAGGTTTTGATTATATGGATCATTACAAGCTATGGACAACATTGCGAAGTATGAGTATTCCAGAACACTTGATTGTGCTCATGAGGAATCTGTACATGGACAGTTGTTTGAACAGAATATGGGAACACTAAATGGTTTCAAATTAAGAAAGGTGTGCGACAAGGTTGTATCCTTTCACCATACTTACTCAACCTGTATGCTGAGCAACTGATCCGAGAAGCTGGGTTCTATGAAGAAAAACATGGCATCAGGATTGGAGGAAGACTCATTAACAACCTGTGATATGCAGATGATACAGCCTTGCTTGCTGAAAGCGAAGAGGAGTCAAAACATTTACTGATGAAGATCAAAGAGCACAGCCTTTGGTATGGATTGCATCTCAATGTAAAGAAAACAAAAATCATCACCAGTGGACCAATAAACAACATTCTTATCAACGGACACCAGCTCCAGTCCAGTCCAGTTCTTGTTAACAACTAACCTCTTAGAGTGTCATATTTTAGAATCTACCATCTAGCCCCTGGACCTAGAGATTTTATTTGAATAATTTTTATACACTGGGTTGTCAAGGCAACTACTGACATTTGGTTCCTGCTATAGCCCCACAGAGCTCCTGGTGTGGTGCTGTGGGATAAGCACAGGACCTCAAGGTCAGCGTGAACCACAAGGTCATTGGTGGTTCTATACTGAGTCGCTGTGAGTTGGAACCGGCTCTATGGCACTTAACAACAATAGCTCCACAAGCATAGAAACAATTGTGAGGGTGGTACAGACGGGGCAGCGTTTTGTTCTGTTGTATGTAGGGTCACTAGAAGTCATAACCAACCTCACAACATTATAACTTTGCATGGTCCATGTGTCCAGGTAGTTTTGTGTTACTGTTGGTGTGTCTATGGGATAAATTACTGAAAGTGGAATTGCTGGGTCAAAGGATAAATACATATGTAATTTAAGGAAAAGTAAAGAAAACAAAAATCCTCACAATTAGACCTATAAACAACATTCTTATCCGCGGAGAAAAGATTGAAGTTGTCAAGGACTTCATTCTTCTTGGATCAACTATCAACACTCACAGAAGCAGCAGTTAAGAAATCAAACGACGTATTGCATTAGGCAAATCTGGTGCACAAGACCTTTTTAAAGTGTTGGAGAGCAAAGATGTCAGTTTGAGGACTAAGGTGCGCCTGATCCAAGCCATGGTGTTTTCAGTAATCTCATAGGCATGCGAAAGCTGAACAGTAAATAAGGAAGACCATAGAAGAATTGATGCTTTTGAGTTATGGTTTTGGAGGAGAATATTGAAAGTGCCATGGGCTGCCAAAAGAACCAATAGATCCATTTTGGAAGACGTGCAGCCAGAGTGTTCCTTGGAGGCCAAGATGGCCAAACTTTGTCTCTTATACTTCGGACATATTGTCAGGAGAGACCAGTCATTAGAGAAGGATATCATATTTAGTAAGGTGGAGGGTCAGAGAAAAAGAGGAAGATCCCTCAATGAGATGGATTGGCCAAATGGCAGCATCGATGGACTCAAGCGTGGCAACAGTAGTGAGGTTGACCCAGGATCGGGTGTTGTTTCGTTCTGCTGTGCGTAAGGTCGCTATTAGTTGGTGGTGACTCAGTGGCACCTAACAACAACAATAGTTTGAAAGTATTTGCATTGATAAGTAAAATGTGACAGACAGATGAGTGTATATATAATCTGTATACTTTCAAATACAGACAGGTTGTACATATATTTTTGTATTATTGTGGAAGGGACATAGAACAGGTAAGCTCGCCATCTAGTGTCTTTGTGTTTATTGCTCTTAACCTTTTTTTTCTCCCCTACTCCTCTTATATAACAGAATTTAACATTATTTAAAATCCCAGAAGTGAGCCCAAATAGGAATAAAATGTACTCTGTATCTTTAGAATTATAATCATTAGCTAAGGCTATTGTGAACCTGGACTCTGTCCTCAAATGTAATTCTAATAAGTAATTTTCATAAGTGAATTCATACTATTTTAGGAGATTCAACTAGTCCAGCTATTGTCTCAATGGAATCTTGCTGCCCTGAACAGTTTTCTTTCTTTCTGGTTTTTTTTTTTCAGAGATAACATAAGATAATGCATAGTTGTGCTGTAGCAGCTGAATTTGGAATATTACAGTAAAATTCCATTTCAGTGTTCTTTTCATACTTTCCATCATCAAAGAAAACTGTTTTGGGTTTTTAACATTTCTTGTCGTTAAGGATTTGTAAGGGATCATTGGGAAGATTGGTGGTTTATGTAGAGATGACCCACTATCTGTTTAGGGGTTTTCCTTTTATGTTTCTAGTGCTTACCTGGACTTTTGTCTCTCTCAACAGCAACAATGATGTGGCTGGTGAATATGGCGGAAGGAGACCCAGAAGCCCAAAGAAGAGTATCCAAAAACTCAAATTATAATGCGCAAAGTAGGTAGCTTTTTATTTGGTAATTTCCTGGTTGTTCTGGGTCATTATTATCTTACAGACTTAACAGTGGACTGTGAAGCAATGATTTTAATTTCTTTTCTTCACTGTTTCCCCTGAGGCTCTTCTGAAAGCTGTCCTTCTTGTTTTTATTCATTGCCATTGACGGTTCCAAACCATAACAACTCTGTATAAGGTTTCCAAGGAGCAGCTGAGCTTGAACCACCAACCTTGTGGTTCAAACCGAGTTTGCAGTCTAGCGCATTAACCCACAGTGCCACACCAGGACTCTGAAAGCTGTCATAATACCAAGTAAATACACATACACATAAAGATACCTAAAGCACAATAGTACAGTCTAAACTCTTAGTGTAAAATTTACTACCATTATGAAAAGGCTCAAGATAAAACTGCACTTTTTAAAAGTTGCATCCACAAGCTTGTAAAAGTGAGAACCTCTTGTTGGTCAGAATAGCTTAAATATAATTTGACCTCAGATTGTGGTAGTAGAAAGGCTAGCAGTTCAAGCTTACTCAGAAGAAAGACCTGGCAGTCTGTTCCCATCAAGATTACAGCTTAAAAATCCCCATGACCATTCTCTTCTGTCACAGGGGTCCATATGAGTCTAGATAAATTATTGTCTCTGAAGAACTATGTTTATTGCAAACACTTCACTAAGTAGATATAATTTTTCTGAAGGAGGGAGGGGGATGATAATTTAGGATTGGATATTGAGTAACCTACTTGTGGATTCTACAGAAGATATAAAGGAGGATATAAGTTAGGAGTTATTATTAGAAAAAGTTAAGGAATATAAGAGTAAAGAAGAATAGGAACTTTGTAAGAAGAAAAGCAAAGGAAAAGGGCTAACCTTATGAGGAAACCGAGAAACAGAGTAAGAACAGATTGGGTGAGAGACAACAAAAGAAGCCTTAATTGAGTACCTATTTGTCAGGAAAGGAAGAGTTTGCTTTTTTTAGAGCCAAATTAGCATATGAGTAACTGCAAAGAGGGCAGTTTCAGGTGGGAATTCATGTTTGGGACCCCAAGATATCAGGACATCAGGCTGCATTATGCAAAGGAAGCAAGAAACCAAATGGAAAAAAATTGTTATAAATGTGGACATTTTGTTGATCTATTGTTAACCTGAAGAAAGTGACAAAGTAATTGGCCAAAGTGTACAAGGGGGCTTTGAAAAGTTCATGGGAAAAATCCCATGATCTTTTAATTTTTTGAAGTCCTCTTTTGTATGCATATTGATGTATGAGTATATAGGTCATACATCAAATTTTATTAATTTCACAAGGGTTGGTTGAGGTCCTGCATGCTCTGGGGATATAGCATAGTCACTAGTGCTGCTGTGGTTAAGGACTCAACTGCTAACTAAAAGTCAAGGGTTCGAACCTACCAGTGTTCTGCAGGAGAACAATGTAACAGTCTGCTTTGTAAAAATTAAAGCCTTCAAACCCTATAGGGTAGTTCTGCTCTGCCCTATAGAGTCTACCTGAGTCAGAATTGACTGAGAGGTTTGGTTATTCTGAGGGGATGAATATAGCACTGAACAAGATATAGCCTTCCCTGATGGCGCTTGTAACCTATTTTGGAAGATAGGCATTTGATAATTCATACAGTCATGAAACTTCTACAGAGGAGAAGCATAAAGTGCTATGAAAGGTTTTCATAGGAGAGAGACTTCACTTACTCTGGGAAGTCTTTCAGGAAGGCTTCCCTGAGGTAGTGACAGCCTTGAGCAGGTTAAAGAGTGAAAGAGAGGAAATAAATGGGCCTGAGTCCTAGAGTTGGAAGGGGCTGGCTGGCCTGCAGTGTTCCTTAGTGAGAATGCTGTTGGTGTTTTGAGTGGGACAGTTCCTCATAGTAAGGATTCCCCCACACGTTGCAGGATATTTAGCATCCCAAATTCCTTTCCCACTAAATACTGATAGTGGCTTGGAGGCATTGTAGTAACCAAAAACATCCCCATCTAGTCATTTTCAAACACCCATTGAGAGGGAGGTGCCACTCCCAAGTAAGAACTACTGTGTTAGAGAAACAACAGCTTAGATTGGGGAAAAGAAGCATAAGGCCCCAGGAGGGAAACATAATAGAAATGAGAGACCACCTGATGTGCACATTCTGACTGAAGCAATGTAGTTTGGGTGTAAGTGCTATTTGCATGGTGGTGATAATGTGAGAATTGAATGTTAATTTAGCCCAAAATTGTGACATTTTGAGAATGTGTTGTTAGGTGTTGTCAAATCAGTTCAGACTCATTGCAACACTATGCACAACAGAAGAAAACACTGCCCAGTCCTGAGCCATCCTCACAGTTGTGGTTACACTGAGCCCATTGCTGCTGCAATGGTGTCAGTCCATCTCGGTGCGAGTCTTTCTCCTTTTTGCTGATCCTCCATTTTACCAAGCATAATATCTTTCCCTGGGGACTGGTCTCACCATCCTTGCCTCCAAGAAGCATTCTAGTTGTACTTCTTCCAACATAGACGGTTTGTACTTCTGGTAGCCCATGGTACTTTCAGTATTCTCCTACAACACCATAACCAAGTGCAGCAGTTCTGTGGTCTTTCTTGTTCATTGTCCAACTTTCACATGCAGATGACACAATTGAATATGCCATGGCTTGGGTCAGGCAAACCTTAGTCCTCAAGCTGATAGTTTAGCTCTTGAATGGGTTTAGAAGGTCTTGTGCAGCAGATTTTCTTAGGACAATAAGTTGTTCGATTTCTTGACTTTTACCTCCATGAGCATTGATTGTGAATCCAAGCAAATGGAAGTCTTCGAGAATTTCAATCTTTTCGCCCAGTTGTGAGGATTTTTTGTTTCCTTTACATGTATAGCAAGCAAGGTTGTATCATTTGCATATCACAGGTTGTTAATGAGTCTTCCTCCAATCCTGATGCCATGTACTTCTTCATATAATCCAGCTTCTCAGATTATTTGCTCAGCATACAGGTTGAATAAGTATGGTGAAAGAATATAGCCCTGGTGCACACTACTCCTGATTCTAAACCATTTAGTATCCCCTTGTTCTGTTGTAACAACTGACTCGGTCTATGTACAGGTTCCTCTTGAGCACAATCAAGTGTTCTGGAATACCTATTCTTTGCATTGTTATCCATAGCTTGTCATGATCCACACCATCAAAAGCCTTTGCATATTCTGACCCTTCTGCTTGGGGGGTTTGCCTCGACACCCCCACCTGTCTCTGTTCCTTTTCCAGGAGGAGTAGGGTCTACCAGTTTCACTTACCCTTTTGGGGAAGAGAAAAGGTAGGGAAGAGGGAGTCTGGGACACCTGGTCCCCAGCTCCCCTCTTTCCGGGGCTTCAGCCCTGTTTCTCCTTGTATCTCCACTCCCCCAGATGCCAAATAGCCATAACCACTTCTTGAAACTCTTTTGTGACCTCTCTGGGGCCGGGGTTCCCTGGCCAGAACTGTAAATGCCAGGGAGGAGAGTGGATCAGCTTAGGGGCCTGGCTGCAGAGGCCCTACTTAGGCAAGGGGAACATTTCTCACCAGAGAGTCAGGCCCTGCCTTGTCCAGCGTCATACCACGTCCAGCCTACCCATTTTCCAGTGTTTGACTGGAGGGCAAAATTTTATTAATCTTTTTGGAGACCAGGGCTACCCTGTTGGCAGCCTGCTTTCTAAGTGAAATCCATTCCGTTTCCCCACTTTGACCCCAAATTGGGGCTTGGACCAAGGGAGGTGAGACCCCTTCCAGGTCCTCTCCCCTTTCAGAATCTATCATCTCTCATTTTGCCCTTTCCTCCTGCTCCATGCCTGGGTTTTGTTCATTTTTTAAGAACATACAATCCCATCCCATCTGTTTTGACTTCCCCTGCCCCAGTAAATGTACCATGCTATCAGTCTTGCACTTCCCCATCCCGCCCCCCTCTTGCCCTGTCTCAGTGCCTGCTTGGCCCGTGCACTTCACCTCCTTCATCCCGTAAGTGGATGGGGTGGAGCCACTGGGCTCTCCTGGTCTTTTGGACCAGTGGCCGCCCCTGCTCCCGGCTCCCAATCACATCTCTGTATATTAAAAAAATATATAAATGTATATTGTTCCTGGTTTTTTATGGACCATGCCCTCTGTCATGTCACCTCCATAAAAGCAGCCCCTCCTCAGGGTGGGGGAGCCTTTGCAGAGTCATTGTAGCATAGTGGTTACAAACTGGGCTACGAACCTTAAGGTCAGTGGTTCAAAACTACCAGCCGCTCCGCGGGAGAAAGATGAGGCTTTCTACTCCTGTAAAGATTTACACTCTCGGAAACCCTGTACAGGGTCGCTATGGGTCAGAACCAACTCAACAGCACTTAACAACAACAGCAAACATCTTTTTGGTATTCTCTGCTTTCAGCCAACATCCATCTGACCTCAGCAATGATATCCCTAGTTCCATGTCCACTTCTGAATCCAGCTTGAGTTTCTCGCAGTTTCCTGTTGATGTACTTTTGCAGCAGTTTTTGAATTACCTTCAGAAAAATTTTACTTGCAGATGATATTGTTCAGTGATTTTCACATTCCATTGCATCACCTCTCTTTGGAATGGACACAAATATGGATCTTTTCCAATTGGTTGGCCAGGTAGCTGTCTTTCCAAATTTCTTGGCAGACATGAATGAGCACATCAGTTTATTGAAGTATCTCATTTTGTATTCCATCAGTTCCTAGAACCTTGTTTATTTTTCAATACCTTCAGTGCACTTTGGAATTCTTCCTTCAGTACCGTTGACTCTTGATCATGCTACCTGTTAAAATGGTCGAATATTGGCCATTTCTTTTTGATACAGTGACTCTGTGTATCCCTTCCATCTCTTTTTTGATTTCTTCTGCATCATTCCATATTTTGCCCATCACAGTACAACAGATGGGTGGTAGGAAGTGCTTAATAGATGCTTACTATCACTGTTTAGACTGATTTTATTTATTTATTTTTATTTTTTATTGTGACTTTAGACCAGGTCATCAGCTTTACATTCAACAAATC